GGAGAGGTTTTTGCTATAGGGCACGTGTGCTCACCAGACAGAGAGAGAGAGACAGAGAGACAGAAAGCAAGAAATCACCCCCCAGGGGAGATGGCCACGCCGCAATCCCTTCTCCTCCATTCTCCTCTCAGGTTCTTGGGCACGCACGCACACGCGCCCGGCGTGAGTTTAAGCCATCAGTTCCAGGACTCGAACCGCAGTTGACCACATGGGAGTCCAGCGACATAGCCATTACGCTAACTGCTGGTCCCAGGAATCTTCTTCTGAAGGCCTGGCCTCTCCTGCCATGCTAGCTTGTTTGCTGGAGGCTGAATTATCAGTAGAAAATCTTCATTTCTCATGTGCCCTGAAATACCTAGTTCGTAGGAGCCATGAGGAATCTTCTCCTGAAGGCCTGGCCTCTTTTTCCTAGTTAGTAGGAGCCATGAAGAATCTTCTTCTGAAGGCCTGGTGTCTACTGCCTGGGTGGAAGGACCAGAGCTGGCCCTTTCTTTCATGTATATTAACCATTTTCTTTTGTGAATTGTCTGCTCAATCTCACTTTATTTTTGGGGGGCTATTTTCTTATTAATTTCTAAGAGCTTTTTGAATGCTAAGGTTATTAAGCTTTTGCTACATCTGTTGTAAGAATTTCTTTCTCATTATCTGTTTATTTAATTTTGTGTTGCATTTTGATATGGGAAGCTTTCAAGCTTTATGTAGTTAAGGCATAAGTAAGGTATGGCATATTATATAGGATATAAGGAATGTTAAGAAATTATCAAATCTCACAGATTTGGTATTTGATATTTGATAGTCAAATATCTCAGATAACGTTTTATTTGATATGTTTATTACATAAATCAGCTGAAGAATTTTTAAGTGTCTTATTTTACACTACTCCTATTTTGAAAGTTCTTTGAAAGCAGAAGTCATGTCTTTCTATTTTATTTTTTCCTTTTTGCCAGAGAGTGAGTGTGGTTGCCAGAGAGAAACACAGAGATAAGGGGATGTGAGAAAGCCCCCCTATGGGGAATGATCATACTGAAATCCCATGCTCTCAACCCCTCGTTCTCTTTGGGATTTTGGGCACAGACACACTTGAACTCGTCATGTCTTTCAAGCTGCTGGCTCTGAGACTTGAACAGTCAGCCATGTGAGTTGGCTGTGTGGGATCCTGCTGCCTTAACCATCAGGTCTCCAGCCGGCCTCTTTTTTTTTAAGCAGCACCACAATGCCTTTTTAACATTTATTTACTTATTTATTTATATGTGTGTGTGTGTGTGTATATATATGTATATATATATATCCCAAATATATAAATCAGTACATATCAGTACATACATAAGTATGACGGAATGGATTACATTTTCTTTTTGTTTCATTTTCAGCTTTTACAAGAAGCTGAAGTATGGAAAGAACAAATAAGTGAACTTAATAAACAGAAAATAACATTTGAAGATTCCAAAGTACATGCAGAACAAATTTTAAATGATAAAGAAAATCATATTAAGGTAAGTGCTCTACTGTTTTTAATAACTGAGTTGGCTAGAATTTTATACTTGCTCTTGAGTTATAAAAACTTATTTTTAGCACTTGTTTTCATAATATATCTAGATTTTCAAATGTACTTTGAAGACTTAACAGACTTGTAACATATATTTCAATATTCTGTGTGTCCTTTTTTTCTTTCCTGTATATTAACCTAAGTGTTTAATAAAGAAAGAAAAAGAATAATAGTTTTATCTTTTCTCTATAGACTAACATCTGTTTCTGTTGGTAAGAAAGAGTTTGAGAAATTGGACATATAGTTAAAGCTACATTTATTGACTGAATATCATTAATACCTAGATTAACTGGTGTATATACTTTCAGAGATGAATATTTTTTATAAAATAAATTAATTGAAACTTGATTCTAATTCCAGGAACAAAATATTACTTTTACCATTTGGTGACTTTTTCCCACTTCGTGTCTCTCCTTGTCCCACCTTTTTTCCTTATATATTCTTCTAAATCTTATGCTTTCCGTCTATAAGCATTCAGTGTACTTATCAGGTAATGAAAATGTAAAACAAACATCCTATAATCTGTACATTGAAAAGGATGCTAAATTGAAAGCTATTCAGTGTTACTTCCGTTGCTCCTAAGAATGTTTTTAAGATTCCAGCTTTAGGGGTTTTATTCAAAATTTGGCATATTGGCTTTTTTTTTTTTTTTTTCTCTAAACTTACTCTACTGAACAGCATGGGATTTTTCCATAACAGAACAAGAATAAGATGCTAACCTCAATTTCTGTTCAAAGCTATAGGCCATGTTATTTATGCCTGGAGCTCTGAAGAGAGGGAGGAGATCGAAGGGTGAAAACTGTAGAGCGGGGTGGATTTTTAGGTGGGTCCTTCCAGAGAAATACATGGCACAGTCATTTGCTAATTTGTTGTTATGAAAAACTTCCTGTATTTAAGAAAATTATAAAAAGCACTGTTGGAAAACTTCTAATGTTCCCATTCAGATTCTTTTTTATGATGTCTTTTTATTTATTTCATTTGAACTCCTCAGCTAGGTGTTGATTTGAATAAGTCAAGTAAAAATTTATATGATCTTTTTGATTTGTCTCACTTATAGATTTGTCTTATATCACACAAAATTTACTCTTAAGTTAATGGCCATTCTTATTTGTAGCATGTGAGACGTTCCATTTAAGATAATATTTTTCTCCTTTGTAATTGTATGATGTATTTATTTAGCCAGAATGGACCATTAATAAATATTGTATTTGATTAGGAATAACTAGTTTTGGTTTTTGCAGAGTTTAGTAGTCAATAAAAGTTACTGTTTTTTAAGGCTGTTAATAACAGGTGGGAAATAAGAACTTAAGTACTATTATCTATATGGATTGATTTTTAAGCTAAAACTGGATATTCAGAAGTTGTAAAGCCATTAGCATAAAGCATTTCTCTTTTTCTTCCCTTTGCTAAATGTCAAGTCTTTGACTGAACGCCTGGTGAATATGAAAGATTGGGTTGCAGTTCTTGGAGAAGAAATAACGGATGATGATAACTTGGAACTGGATCTGAAGAGTGAATCAGAAAATGGTGCTCACTTAGGTATTAAGTCATGACTCATCCTCTTTTGCTAAAATGGTGACTAACTCTTTTATTTCCTTTCTGTTCCCTTGTGTACTGTGTTCTTTATACACCTGTACTTTGGCACATCATGTCCATCTGTCCCTTTCTCACCAGTGCATACAATTTAGCTTCAATGGGAGTATTGCCTCTTAGTTACTGTTTTTCTCTCTTCTCAGACACACTTACAGCCTCCTTACCCTCTGCTCTCTGTATACATCATACAAGTCTTTATAGCAATTTTCAAAATTACATCATAATCAATTTAGTGCTTGTTTTTCCCTGAACTGGAAGCTAATAAATAGATGGTGACTAGTTTGAAAAATTAGAGTTACCTAAAAGAAGACTTTGACACTTTTTTTCTTTTAAAGTCAGATTATTCAGATGTTTATAGTTCTTAAATCTTGGCCTTCCTGAGCTGTCCATTTCCATTGCTGATTGTAGTCTGGAGATGGCAAAAGTTAGGTTCACTATAATCACTGTGGCTCAAAGAAATTCTTTTAGCTTAAAACAAAACAAAACAAAACAAAACACTTTTGGGCCATCCAGTGGCGTGGTGATTAAGGTAGCTGGATCCTAAGTGATCCATTGCATAAGATGAGTCCCAGACTTACCTAGCAGCTTGAGAAACATGCCAGGTGCATGTACATGTGTCCCCAAAATCCTCAAAGGAGAAATGGAGAAAAGGGATTTGGTATGACATTCTCCATGTAGGGTGCTTTGTCACTTTCTTCTTTCCCTCTCTGATGAACACACATGTACTCTAGTGAAGTTAAAAAAAAAAAAAACCAGAACCCTTAATTTTTAAATAATTACCGATGCATGGGAATTGCAAAAGTAGTACTGAGAAGTTCCATGTACCTTTCACCTAGTTTCCTCCAGTGGTAGTTTTGAACTTTCATGTCCTTTTTCTTTTCTCTACCCTGCCCCCTATATAATTAAAAAATATATTAAGAAAAAAAGGTATGATTTAAAAAAAATTTATTATATGATAGCATTAATATTTACATTCCCAGAGTAAAGTTTATGTAAAGTTCTATTTGTACTTTTTTGCTTCTGCTTCATCATGTAAGAAATAATTCTTTGCTAATAGAGAAATTCCTGCTTGTTTAATATTATTCTTAATTTGGGTTATAATTTCACTCATAGTTTGGATGCTGTAAGAATCCAGTATTAAGATCATAGGCTGATTTAGGCAAATACTAAATCTTGTATAACTATTCTTAGAGTAAATGCAGAAGAACCCTAAGTGATATAGTACTTTTAGTGCTTTTATTTACAGTTTAGTTTCTTGGGAACAGGTCTGAGACCATTCTGCCTTCTGACCAAAGATCTTTATTATAGCAAGAAGAAGTATTATAAAGGTTGAGTCCAGTGAACTAATAAAATCATTTGGATGTCAGTTGTGGGATCATACTGTTTTTTCAACTCATTGTTGTGTTTTATTTTTTACTATAGATAATCAGCCAAAAGGAGCCTTGAAGAAACTGATTCATGCTGCTAAGGTTTGCCTTATTACATAAATATAAAGAATATGGAGGAAGTAATAGAACATGGACTAAATCTTTATGTCCTGGGATGGCCTTGTGGCCTGTGGTTAAGGGAGGTGCCACATGACTGACCATACATTTTGAATACTAGCCCTGGTGGCTTGAAGGACACAGTTTATGTGTGTACATGCTTAAAATCCTGACAAGATGGAGAAGTGGGGGTGAAGGGATTGCAGAAAGACCACAACTTGTTGAGGGGTGCTCTTTTTCCCTCTCTCTTTCTGTTTCTTTCTCTTTGGTGAGCACACTTTGGTAAAAAAAAAAAAAAAAAAAAAAAAAAATCCTATGTCCTTAGTAACTATTTTTGAAGTTCATTTTGTTCACATATGATTATGTTTAAGAAATAACAGAATTTTCTTCATCACTTGCTGTTTACTCTTTGTATTCACAATAGAAAGCATGTACTTGTGTAGGTGAGGGAACGAGAGGGAGGGAGAGGAAAAGAGAGGGAAAGGGAGATGCATCCTCAAAAGGGTCTGGTCATGCTGTGATCCCCTTCCTCTTCCCTCCAGTTATCAAGATCTTGGGTGTGCATGATGTGTTGTCCCTGGGCTGGGGATCTGAACCTTCTGTCAGTCATGTGATTTCCAGCACTGCAGTTCAGTACACTACTGGCTGTGCCACCAAGGCCGGACCACGTTTACATTTTTACTGTTAAGTTTAGAAATTCATATACAGTTATGCATCACTTGACTAGGGAAATACATTCTGAGAAATGAGTTGTTAAGCAATTTTGTTGTGCAGACATTTTAGAGTGTACTTAGAATAAACCTAGATGGTATACTCATTGCTCCTAGGTTACAAACCTGTAAGGCATGTTGCTATGCTGAATACAGTAATTATAGCACAGTGATAAGTATTGTGTATCTAAACCTAGAAAGAGTATAGTAGAAATGTAGTATAAAATAAAATAGTGTATACCCATATAGGGCACTTAAAATGAATGGAGCTTACAAAACTGGAAGTTGCTCTGAGTGAGTTAGTGATTGATTGATAAATTATCATGAAGGCCTAGAACATTATTCTATACTACTGTAGATTTTCTAAACATTGTACAGTTAGAATACACTAAATACATTGTACACAACATATTTAAACACAAATATGTTGTACAACTGTACAAACATATTTTCTTTCATTATATAATTATTATTTTTTTAGAGTTTTATTTATTCATTCATTCATTCATTCATTTTTAAAATTTGACCAGAGAGAGACACAGAGAGAGAGGAAAGTGAGAAAGCAAGCTACCAGGTCTAGGACTTGAACCATGGTCAGAGTGTCCAGCGCCTTAACCACCATACCACCTGCTGGTCCCTCATTATATCATTATTGTATACGATTTAAAATTATTCAATTCGTTTCTTTGATTTTAAATTATTATTATTATTATTATTTTGTTTTTGAGAGATTTTCGCTATAGGGCGCATGCACTCGCCAGACAGAGAGAGACATAGAGACAGAAAGCGAGAAATCACCCCCCAGGGAGGCTGGTCATTTCTCAATCCCTTCTCCTCCATTCTCCTCTCCGAATCTTGGGCACGCACGCACACGCGCCTGGCGTGAGTTTTAAGCCACCGGGTCCACGATGCGAACCGCGGTCATCTATGTGGGAGTCCAGTGACATAGCCATTACGCTAACTGCCGGTTCCCATATTATTATTTTTTTGAGAGAGTTTTGCTATCAGGGTTGTGTATATTCACTGAAGAGACAGACAAAAAGCGAGAAATCACTCCTTCAGGGATTGTCATACTGCAATCCTTTTTCCTCCATTCTTTTGGGATTTTGGGCACACACACACACATCAACTGGAGTGAACCACTGGATTCAGGGCCACTGCATTCAGGGCTCGAACTACAGTTGACCACGTAGGAGTCTAGCTTCTTAATCACTGTGCCACCTGCTGGCCCTATTAATTTTTTTCTTTTTTGAGATCTTTCACATAGGGGATGTGAGCTCTGCTGAGACAGAGAGAGAAGGGAAGTGAGAAATCACTCCCTGTGTGTATGGCCATGATGCAGTCCCTTTTCTTCCATTCTCCTCTTGGGATTTTGTGCATGCCTGCACACATGCCCAGTGTAATTTTCAAGATGCAGGGTTTGGGACTCGAACTGCAGTTCACCATGTGGGAGTCCAGTGCCTTATCTTATCGTGCCACCTGCTGGCTCGAAGCTTTTTTTTTTTTTGTAAGAGATTTTTGCTGTAGGGTGCCTATGTTTGCCAGAGAGACTGAGAGACAGAAAGCAAGCAATCACTCCCCAAGGAGGCGGGCCACACCACAATCTTTTCTCCTCCATTCTTCTCTCAGGACCTTTGGCATGCAAGCGCATATGCCTGGCGTGAGTTTTAAGCTGCCAGGTCCAGGACTCAAACCGTGGTTGACTATGTGGGAGTCCAGGGATGTTACCATTATGCCATCTGCTGGTACCAGACCCTGAGCATATTTAAGTTTTTATTTTTCTCTTTACTTTTTTTTTTTTTTTTTTAGGATTTCTTTTTTTTTAATTTTTTTATTTTTTTTACATTTTTTTTTTATTTACATTCATTCACTGTACATCATTATAGCATACAAAATGAGATTTTTCCATTGAGAATACACTGTATATTGGCTCAATCAAGCACATCAACGTATTTGTTATTGTCAACAAATCATTTTCCATTTCTTGTTTTCTGTATATTTTGCCTTTTTTCCCATCCTTGATTCCCTATCTCACCCTCTGCCATCTCCCACCCTCCTCCCACACTGTGTCTGGTATCTATTGTTGCTTTCTATGCCTCCCCCATTTTATTGTTTCACTAAATATCTTAATAAATCTAAATATTTTCAATAGCAAGCACAGCTGATATGTACATATCCATGAACACAAGACTGACTTTAGGCATAAACCTCAGTGAATAGAATGAACATACTGTAAAGTAGCACCTAACTAGGGCTATATAGCTTAACTGCAGTCATCAAATAGGTATTTCTAATGCCTATTTTTTTTCTTCTGAAAATTTTTTTTATTAATTTACATTCATTCCCTGAGCATCATCACAACATTCTAAATGTGATTTCCCATCTAGAATATATAGTGGCTTAATAATGCATGTTATCATCCATAATATTCCATTTCTACTTTCATATATATGTTTTTTTACCCCATGTCTAGCCCTCTGCCCTATTCCACTCTCTTATTACACTATCTCTGCTGTCTACAGTTGTCTTCAATCCCTTTTCCCCCAACATTTCGTTGGTCACACAATATCATAAGTAATCTAACTACTTTCAATAGCAAGATCAGCCGATGGTTTCAAGAAAAGCAGTTTTGAACTGGTAAGGATATTTCTTTGAAACTTAAAGCCTAGAAACAGGTTAGTATTCTGTTCAAATAGTCGGAACATGAATCTATTGATAGCTGAAGACAGGACAAAAGTCCTTAAAACCAGACAACAAAGCTTAGAAGAAAAGCAGCAATATTTTAGTCAAGTCGTAGAATACTGTTTCATCAGTTCAGTCTCATGTACTTAATCTTTCTTCTGTATCTGTTGAGGTTCGATGTTCCAGATTGAAATCTGGGATGTAATACTCAACTCCAGCTTTTGGCCCTACAATTAAGTTGCCCATTTTCTTAGTTTCTGAACTCTTATTTCTGTGTGTCTGCATTTAATTTTACTGACATAGCACTCCCTTAAGAACTTCTTGGAGATCCGGTCTGGTGCTGGTAAATTCTTTCAGGTTTTGTTTATCTGGGAAAGTTCGTGTCTTTTCTTCCCAAATGAACGATAACCTTGCTGGGTACAGAATTCTCGGTTGAAATTGCTTTTCCCTTAATACTTTGAATACATTTTCCCATTCTCTCCTCGCTCTCATTGTTTCCGATGAGAGGTCTGCCGTTAGTCTGATGGGATACCCTTTGTAGGTAACTTGCCTTTTTTCTCTTGCCAGTCTTAGTATCTTGTCTTTGTCTGTGGTTTTGGTCAATCTGGCTATAATGTGTCTTGGAGAAGATCTTCTTGGGTTGATTCTATTTGGGGTCCTCTGTATTTCTTGGGACTGAATCTTTGAGTGCCTCTCCAGGTTTGGAAAATTTTCTTGTAAGATTTCATGGAATAGATTATCAATGCCCTTATGAGTCTCTTCACCTTCTGGGATGCCTATTATCCGGATGTTTGGACGTTTGATGGTATCTAGTACTTCTCGCATATTATTCTCAAATTTTTGGGCCATTTTCTCAGTCTTCGCGGTGGATTTTTCTAGGCCAACCATTTTCTCTTCTACATTAGAGATTCTATTTTCTGTATGATCTAGTCTGCTTTTAATACTTTCAAGGGAGATTTTGACTTCTTGTATTATAGCCTTCATCTCTAACAGTTCCATCTGATTCTTTTGTAAAGTGTGAAATTCCTTTTTTAGATCTAGCATGAATTTCCTCACCTCCTGGAACTCTTCAACTCCTTTCTCCTTCCTCTTCAGCAGTTCCTTGTCTCTCTTCTCTTCCATCTCTGTTAGCTTTGCCATTATGAATGTTCTGAATTCTTTATCAGACATTTCCATGATTTCCATTGAACTGTGTGTGTATAAAGAGGAGCTATCCTTTTCCCTTGTGGGAGAGGTATTTTCCTGCTTCCCCATATTTCTTGTGGTCTTGCAGCGATATCTAGTCATCTGGTGGGTGGTCGGTTTCTTCCCAAACACGCGAGTTTTGGATGCTGGAGGCCCAGTTATCAGTGGGACATCTTCCTTTCTCCCCAAATGGCTAGATCACAGGAGCTCTCTTTACTTTTTATATATATATTTTTTTGTTAAAAACTAAGATGCAAGCATATTCATTAGCATAGGCTGACATAGGGTCAAGATCCTCAATTTCACTTTTAAAAATAATTCTTAATTTATTAATACTGTTATTATTATTTTTTAATTTGACCAGAGAGAGTAAGAGAGACAGAGAGGGAAAGTGAGAAAGCAAGCTGCCAGGTCCAGGACTCAAACCACAGTTGACCATGTGGGAGTCCAGCACCTTAACCAACATATGAGCTCCTGGCCCCACTCACTGTCTTTCACATTGACTCTTATATTTTATAATTTTATTATTCCAATTTTAATGAGACCTTTGGATGTACAAAGTATAGCTATATGTGGATACTTAAAACTTTTGAGTGACTGTATACAGTACATAGTGAATGGCTTCTTTTTTCAGAATTTGTGTTGTAAGTAAATAGAATGAAAATAGCTATTGTTTAAGCATACAGTGGAAAGTGTTCACTGCTTTTCTCTGTCCTTTTTCTGTGATATGCAACTGTTGATGACTTTTGCTAGCTTTTTATTTTTGGAGATTTTTTTTTTTTTTTTTTGCTATAGGACGCGTGCCCTCTCCAGACAGACAGACAGAAAGTGAGAAATCACCCCCCAGGGGGGTGGCCATGCCGCAATCCCTTCTCCTCCATTGTCCTCTCGGGATCTTGGGCACGCACACACACGCGCCCGGCGAGAGTTTAAGCCTCCGGGTCCGGGACTCGAACCGCGGTCGACTACGTGGGAGTCCAGCGACATAGCCATTATGCTAACTGCTGGTTCTGATAACTTTTGCTAGCTTTCTAAGATGGAAGCCATATTGTTGGTTTCTACATTCTAGATGGTAATTTTATCAAAATAATAAAAATAGCTTTGAAAGAATTGGGCGTGGTATATTGAAGTTTTGTTTTTTTTGTATAACTGATTAATTTTTTTTCTTTTTTTTAAAGTTAAATGCGTCTTTAAAAACTCTAGAAGGAGAAAGAAATCAAATTTACACTCAGTTATCTGAAGTAGATAAAATAAAGGAAGATCTTACAGGTAGGTAATTTATATGCTTTTAGAGTTTTTCTAAATCAATTACAAAGAATGATAATATTAATTGAATCGGTTTTGAGGAGATCCAGTTCTTTTTGTTTTACTTTTATTTTTGTTGATTTTTTTTGTGAAAAATTAGTCCTGATTTTTGTTATCCTTGTTTGTAAAGCCATATCAGTTTCCTCTGTATTTTTGTGAAATTAAAATTATGAAATTATTTTTGAAAACATATAAAACCATATTTACTTTGAGTTAGAGTGTGAAATACTTGGTCTGGTTACTAAAAATTAGCAAATTGATACTTATTTTTAAAATATTCATTAATTACAAATTGATCATTAGTAATAGAACTACTTAGTGTGGGTTGCTCCTGTAATACAGACACATAGTTTATTAGCATATATAGGACTGATATTAAACCTGTAGAAATGAAGTTTTACTTGTCATTGAAAACATTTCTGTTTATTTTGCTCATAATGTTTGTATTTTAAAAGAATTATTTATTATTATTTTAAAATTTGCTATGTCTGCTTATACTCTTCTTCGAAATTTTTCTTTTTTTAATGGGTCATGAAAGAACTTTTTATAATTTATCTTCTATTTATAGCATGAAAGTTTTTTCTGAAGAGTTTCTTTGTCTCTTTTTTGATAATTATAGTGCTATTTTATTTTTCAGTTTTGTTTTTGTTTTAATATGAAAAAGTTGAAGCAAAACAGCTGAGTGTAATATAAAATATAAATAAGTATTGGTTTATAGTTTTTTCTTTTGTTTTTACTGTAGGGATGACTCAGTTTTAATAGAAACAATACCCAATGTTGTTCCTTTTTAAGCAACTATTCTTGGTAATGACTTAAAGCCCATTTTCTGATGTAGATTTAAAAATTTCTGTGGAAACATGCACAATTTTTTGTGCACTTAATCACTTAATGTTAAAGTATCTTAACTGTTATTTTGGTATGTATGTTTTAGAACAATTATATAATATTACATGTAATTACTAAACTTTTCATGCTTATTAATACGCGTTTGAAACTGTCCTCTTTAGGCAGAGTGGATTTTGCCTTGTGGTAAGACTTGTGATATTGCTTTATACACATTTTAGGTAATGGTACTTTAATCTTAGAGGAGTCAAAGTTGAGGTTTTTATATTAGTAACCCGATCTTAGAGTTCAAGAGTTTGTACTTAATTAGTTATTTATTTTTAATTTGCTAGAAGGCACACTTGCTCACTGGAGAGAGAGAGAGAAAGAGGAAAATGAGAACTCACCCTCTATCGAGGACTGTCACACTGTAATCCTTTCTCCTCAGTTTCTTCTTTCGGGATTTTAGACACACTTGCACACATCTGGCATGTTTTCTAAGACACCAGGTCCAGGACTCAAATGGCGCAGTGGACCATTTGGGAACCAGTCACCTTAACCAGTGGATCGTGTGGGATCTAGTCACTTAAACCACCACACTGGCTGGCCCAAGTTAGTACTTTAATGATAATACAAGAGTTCAGAGTTGCGATTATAATGCTGGAAGAGAAATAGGTTTTTAAAAACAATTGGTGCATTGGAGACCAGTTCATAGCATAATGATTACGTCACTGGACTCCCACATGGTCATCCACAATTCAAATCCTGGACCCAGAGGCTTGAAACTCAAGGTGCATGTGTATGCTCAATATCCAAGAGGAAAATGGAGGAGAAGGGATATAGTGTGGCTGTTCCCCTGGGCGGGTGATTCGTTGCTTCCTGTCTCTCTGGTGAATACATATGCCCTATAGCAAAAACCTCAAAAAAAAAAGAAAACAAACAAACAAACAAAAAAAACAATTGGTGCACTAATTATAAAGCATTCATTATTATTTAGAATTGTTAATTTTTTATTTTTATAGCCAATTCTTTTAGATATTCTTTTAGATGATTTTGCAGTTGTGACAAAGCTGAAGTTGTGATTTTTCTTTCCAGTCATGATCTGGCTAAGCTAGTAGGGTGTTTGAGTATCTGTTCCTAGAATATGCCAATTTCTGGCTTGATATAAAATGTATGTCAAAATTTTGATCTAAAACAAAGATTGAGGTAGATCTTAAGTCTTACTGAGAAACACCATTATTTATCATATGGTAATAGTTTCTGAGGAAATGTTGGGCTAAATTATTTGCCTTTAAAGCTTTCATCTTCAAAACCTTGCTATGAACTTTAGTGGCTTTTAGCTGCCAGGTTGAAAATTAGATACTGGAATTAAAATGTTGGAGGTTTTGAGAATCTTATAAATAATAAAAAATTAAAATGGGGTACCAGCAGGTGGCATAGTGGTTAAGGTGCTGGACTCCTGTATGGCTGACTGCAGATTTTGGTCCTGGACCTGCAGCATATGTTTCTAAAATTCCAGGAAGATGGAGGAGAAGGGTTTGCGGTGGGGCTTGTGATGTGGGCATCCCCCTGAGAGGGGGTGATTTCTCACTTTCCCTCTCAGTGTCTGTCTCTGGCAAGCACACATTGCCTATGGCAAAAACCTAAAAAAAAAAAAAAAGAAAAGAAATTAAAATGGTTTTTGTGACCTTAAAATATTAAAAAGCATTTAAGTAAACAAAATACCTCACAGATGTTTCTCTTGTTGGAAAAAGTTTCATTTATTATTAATGTATTATTTTTAGTAATTTTTATCTTTTTGAAATGTTAATATGCAGCTTAGAATATTTACTCCTTTAATCATAACTTTAAAAAATTTTCTGTAGAACATATTAAAAATCTCCAGACTGAACAAGCATCTTTACAGTCAGAAAATACACAGTTTGAAACTGAGAATCAGAAGCTTCAGCAGAAACTTAAAGTAATGACTGAATTATATCAAGAAAATGAAATGAAAATACACAGGTAATAATAGGGGGATGGAGGGGAACAGGGAAAAAAACCCAAATACTATGTTTAATTGACACAAAATGAAAAGATATTTACTGATTATAATGTGTAGGATAATGTCTTTGTCTTGACTGATGTACAAAAGATGTATGGTGATTAAATGTAAGTAATAAATATAAAAACATTAAAAAATCATATTATAACATCATTGGGTATCTAGTGAAATAGCTTCAGAATTGTATGTTGCATATTCAGCTCCTGTGAGTTTTGAAAGTTTTCAAATTACAATTGGATTGTATCTTATCATTTATTTTTGTGAAAGCTATTTGATCTTGAAACACTTTTTCCTTAAGCAAGAACATGTTGTAAATAATGATGGGATTTCTAAGCTCATTTACAAAGTCTTTTTTTTTTATTTATATTATCATCATAATCTTCTTTATATTACATTGGATTACATATAACTTTACATTGACTTCCATTGCTTTTTCAAAAGGGAGTGCCATGCATGTCAGTCAATACAGAGACATCAATCTCCCCGCTTTATCATTCAATGTCTTTTCCATGCATTTCCCAATAATTATCATTATTATAATTTTTTAAAACAGTCAATCACTATTTCTCATTTTGCTTGTTAAAAGACTTCACCCATCATGAAATACTTCCCAGACCAGTCCAGTTGAGAATACTATACACGTCATCATCAACAGATAATAAACCATATCTGTTTCTCACTAACATCCTCTCTATTGTTCACTTGTTATCTTTCTCTATCCTCTTCTCTTTTTTTTTATAGTTTATTTTTTATTATAATTTTT